TGATTTACAGCTTGATTCCACACCGTATTTTTGGTACAAGTATGGAATTTTCAGCATGGATATCGGTAGCCCAAATTTTGCAGGCCGACCATAGATATTAGGTGTGCGCCGGCGTGGGCTCGAACCTCGGACCATGTGCATGGTCGGCGAGAGTCCTAACCACTGTGCCACCGACGTACTAGAATGTACGTGTACGCAAGTTTAATCAAATAACGCATGCAACAAATTGGTGAGCCCGACGATAACTTGTCCACCCGACGCATCATTACACTTGGTGGACTAATAAAACTCTAACCTTTTCGGATCTATATCTATATATATACATATATGTGACATTTCGAACTCATTCTTGTGATTTCTCACCGCACATTCTCCAGTAATCTGCGGTAAGCATCTGCATTGCATGCTTTTCTGTTTTGCCATATTCTTAGTGTGCATAATTTTTGCTGTTTTGTTACTCTTAAACCATTTTTCTACGAATTGTATCATGTCTTCCAATACCTCTAATAACCTGGAGCTGGGATCTGTTAGTACTATTTCTCTTACTGTACCAGTTTTTAAGCGCAGAGACCCTCATCCTTGGTTTGCACGACTGGAACATTATTCCACTTCCAATAAGCTCACGTCACAGACAGCTAAATTCGGCATTTTAAGTACAGTACTACCAGACGAAATCGCCGAACAGGTTCGACAATGCATCGTTCAGCCCAGCACAGACTCTCCTTACGACAAGTTGAAAGAAGAAGTACTTCGATACACTTCTCTTTCGGATAGGCAAGCATTCGATTGTTTGTTAAGCAATGTAGAGCTAGCTGATAAAACCTCATCGCAACTCATGAGGCATGTGCAAAGCCTAGTAGCAGGGAGAGAAATCGATAACCGTCTCTTTTACCAAATCTGGCTGCTACTACTTCCTGCAAACATTCAGCAAGTTCTCGCTTTCGGAGACAGCGACATTGACATAGAAAAGCTCGCCAAAATCGCGGATCGCATGTACGAGAGGTCAACACCTCAATCTGTTGCTTCCACTAGCAGAATACCAGACACTCACGACAGGATACAGACTCTAGAACACAAAGTCGACACCTTACTGAGTCAGTTAGCAGCACTGACCACAAGCACACGACCAGGCCGTTCTAGAAGCTCGTCTTGTCGACGTCTTTCTCGGTCACCTAGCACGTCACATCACGATAATATTTGCTGGTACCACCGTAGTTACGGAAGCAGTGCACAACGGTGTCGTTCACCTTGCAACTTTCAGGCTAAACCAAAAGATATATCGTCATGTATGAAAACTTCTACTGTTGGCAATCTACGATCTAGCAGTCGTTTGTTTTATGTAACAGAGAGAAATACCGGCACTACATTCTTAGTCGACACAGGAGCAGAGGTTAGTGTTCTCCTTCCGTCTACGCAGGAACGTCAACATCCTGACCCTGCAGTTACGCTCCAAGCCGTTAATAAGTCTAATATTGTTACACATGGAAGTAAACGAATGACTTTAGACTTTGGTCTGCAAAACACCTACTCTTGGTCTTTTATCATCGCAGACGTTCCATCCCCAATTCTCAGTATCGATTTTCTACAGCAACACAAACTGCTAGTTGATCCGATAAGCCCTAAGCTTCTAGACTCACTCAATAAAAAGTACATCGCTGGTACGATTAGCCGCGCATCATCGTTGAACTTCATGGTCACACGCACACCAGCACCCCATATACTGACTCGGCAGATCAGTTTCCTGACATTCTACAACCATCTTTCCGATCAACAGACCACAAAGCTCTAACGAAAGCCTTACCAGCAAAACAGGATAACTAATCTCCACGCGAACTACGACATCTCGAGTTTACATCCCAGTTCACCTCCGATCTGCGACACATAAAGGGTAAAAATAATGAAGTAGCAGACGCTTTATCACGTATGCACATTTGATAACATTGTATGCCCAGACATCGACTACGAGCATCTCTCAGACTTACAACGAGATGACGCCGAACTCAAAAAGATCATGTCTTCTAAAACAACATCCCTAAACCTCGAGGCAATTCCTTTTGGCACGACACCTCTACGGGTAAATATCGACCTTTCGTTCCAATAGCTATGAGACATACAGTATTCGAGAAGTTACATAACTTGGCGCGTCCTTCTGTGGGCGCTACTACCAAGCTGCTAAGAGAAAGATTTATCTGGCCAAACATTAACAGCGACGTTAAGAAGTGGACACGAAATTGCTTATCCTGTCAAAGAATCAAAATCAACCGGCACACCAAAGGGCCACTTGGTCGCTTCCCTAACCCCGGCTCTAGATTTGACCATGTACATGTAGACATAGTTGGTCCACTGCCTCCTTCCAACGGTTTCAACCATATTTTAACTTGCATTGACAGATTAACTCGTTGGCCAGTAGCAGTTCCATTAATCGACGTCTCAGCTAAAACGGTAGCTAAAGCTTTAGTCGAAAACTGGATCGCCAACTTTGGTGTCCCATCAATTATCACTACAGACAGAGGTGTCCAGTTTGAAAGCCGACTTTTTGACCAGCTAACTGAATTACTAGGCATTAAACGAATATGAACAACAGCGTATCATGCTAGTCGAACGATTTCATTGACAACTCAAAGCTGCGCTCGCTGCTTCTTTGACTCACAACGATTGGTCAACCAAACTTCCACTAGTACTACTTGGTATACGAGCTGCTATAAAGAAAGATATTGGCTACTGCGTTTCCGAACTAGCCTATGGAACAACATTAAGATTACCAGGAGAATTTATCACCCCGGGTAACCAAGTTCCGCACGATATGACTGGTTACGTACACCAGCTAAAACAGCACATGAACGAGCTCAAGATATCACTTCCACGTCAGCAGGAACGAGCGTCATACATCACGTCACAACTGACAGACTGCACTCACGTCTTCGTCAGGAGAGAAGGTGTGCAAAGACCACTTCAACCCGCTTATGATGGCCCATTCAAAGTTCTTAACAGAAATGCCAAAGTTATCACGATAGAAAGATTGAATAAAACAGAAGCCATCAGTATCGACAGAGTCAAACCAGCGTTCCTCGACGATTTCGAAGCCAACAATAAGGACAAGCTGAACGACGTGCCAACACCCACATCCACACAAGCTTCAACTTCGACTCAGGAACCTGTGAAAACAACGCGATCTGGTAGACGAGTCCATTGGCCTAAACGTTACGTGCAAGTCATCGAAATATAACTTACTACGAATTTTCATTTTTATTATCTTTATTCGTAATTGTCATTTGACTATTCATTTAATTGACTAATATTTTCATACATAAATCACGTCGCTATTATTTTAACATCAATATTTCCTTTATTATTACATTTAATCACATCTCGCTTATTATTCACGTATCGTTTTCGTCTACCGACTACAGATCCTCGGCCAATTTTATGGTTCCTTATATGTTCTATTATGAGTAGCAATCCTACTTTCCCCAGATTATCGCATTTATTATCGATGTTATTAACCGCTTTAAACTGCTCACTTTTCAGCTTAATAAATCGCCTTCTGTGTACTATCGCTGCTACGTATCGCGCTGACGCATATTATTTTCGAACACTTAAATGTATTTTTTTATATTTCAGTGTTCTGGTGGGGGAATTATGTAGTACCCCTATACGAACTGTAAACATGCTTTTTAATTTAATTTGTATACCCGTATTATATGTTTACACAGACCGATTTTATATATACTTCGCAAACACCTGTCAATTTACTGTTGAACACTGCCTTGACACAATTTTGAAATTTGACTACGGCTGTAATACACGATCGTACTCTTCGCAAGCGCCTTTTGGTTTTACGTTGTGGGCGTCGAGTAGTCACAACGTCCATGCACATTAATAAACGTGAAGAAGTACTCGAATGTACGTGTACGCAAGTTTGGTCAAATAACGCACGCAACAAATGAAACGATGATTGTAGTATCGATGACTCTCGCCAAAGTAAAGAGCTGGGTTTGAGCAAACAACCATGAATTGATCGTTCAGTCTTCAACTGCACTGACAAATTTCGACCCCTATCCGTGTTATACTCTTAATTCATAGTTTTCTGCAGTATGTCATATCCTTAACTTTCTGCACTCCTTATCAGAGAATACGGTCAGCTGTAGAATCTTGTTCGCACCAAGACGAGGTGTTAGGTGTCTGGAATCTGCTGGTGATCTGTGTCCATTCGCAAAAAAGAAGGCTGTGGAATCCCCGTAACAGATTAATTGTCAAGTTCATCCATTCCGCCCGTCGCTACTCTCCAAAAAGGCTTAGCGAAGGTGGCTGCAACGCCGGTCCGCAGGGCTTCAGCGATAGCTGATTAGAAAGAATACCAGAAGAACAGAAAACTGAAGGCGAATTTGGGGTCAACGGAAAGGACTGTTCCGGGAGAATCGTTTCATTATGGGAGGAGCAGCGATTCAAAGGTTCAATATGCACCCTATTAGTCAACAGATATATGAGGAGTTTGGAACACTAGTCAAAATGGGATGTTTGCTTGAATACATAGGTGAAGTGAAAGGGTTCTAGAGTAGTTACCGAGAGTAAAAATATCCCACTTATTTCTACATCATTCGTCGTTTTGTTGTGCTATTATTACTTCTTCCATCTGTATTAATCTCACCCTATCATTTGTGCAATGTGGACATGGGATCCCAATTTCCTTCTGTCCTACACACAGTCATCTGGCCCTCTCAAATCACTTTGTACTGCCTTCCACATACTTTCTGAGACCTAAATAAAGAATTGCCCAACAGAAAGAAATTTCCAAGTTCCAGCAGCACAATTTATAAAACCTTCCAAAACAAACTAAAATACCTCCTCAAATAGCGTTCAGCACAATTGCAGCATTCGAGAGGAGAGATTGTACTGTAGTCCGCCAAAGATTTAGGGCCTTACCGAAACAATAAGGAGAGAGCACCAGAAAAACGTAAGCTCATCTGAAAGATATTGGATATTTGTTTGGTAGCTATAAATGCAGATGTATTGTAGGTCACCGAATGCGGTGCTTTTGGATGTGAAATGGATGGTGCACATGAAAAGTTTTTTGGAGATGTTTATAGTATCCTGAGACAATGGGAATTCATAATCCTTCGTGTTCAGACGCTACTTTTATGGAAGCGTATAGTTCCAAGCTTTGTTTTTACTGCACTAGTAAACATTGTGTTTTTGTAAGTTGCCTACCCATAAAATTTATTCCTAGACCATTTGTGAGGAGCAAACTCAGTGGATTGTTTCTTTTCTGCTTGGTGTTGTTTTTCATTCTGTTGTGTAAATTGTTAAAGCCACTGGTAGCAAAGGCTAATACTGGTACGTACTCGCGTGTAGAAATAATGGTTTTTTGTCATTACTAACTATGAGAAAGCAAGTAGTACTTTTAAATACACTAATAGATTTGTTCATGACATTTAATTACATTCGTTCCTTGCCATACCTTAGCTAGAACAGTGTTAGTAGTGCTATAGTTAACAGGAATGTACCATTTTACTGCATATTGCCCACCCTTTGTTGATTACTTTATTTATGTCAAACGTGTATAGTGGAAAACCACTTTATGTAGTTTGTTCTCCCTGAGCAACGCTAAAAATCCGAAATAATTCGATAATGACAGTTTTCAGTTCCGTTAATTACGTGTCATTTCCTATTTTCTCACATATCCTAACGAAAGAATATGCACAGCTATTAACATCAGTTGTAGACTTCGTGAGCTGATGCAAACAAGTATACTATCTGAAAGGAGCTTAAAATAACTGTGTGCTGTCTCTAGTTGCATCAGTCTCAGATAATGCTGTAACCACAGGTAGCTTTTGGCTGTAATGGGAAGTGGTAGAGCACGTTGACCGCTTCACTTATTTGGGAAGTACCATCAGCCCCAACGGGTTGGTCTCTGACGAAATCTCAGCATGGATACAGAGGGCTCGTTTCGCATATGCCAGTTTACGCCGTCTCTGGCGTAGAAGAGATATCCGACTATCGACCAAAGGGCGGGTGTACTGCTCATCAGTCCGCTCCGTCCTCCTTTATGGCTGTGAGACCTGGCCACTGAGAGCGGAAGACATAAAAAAATTAGCTGTCTTTGATCATAGGTACCTGCGTTCTATTTCCCGCGTGAACTGGTATAATATGGTGAGCGATATTGAGGTTGCGCGTCGAGTTCTAGGTAAGCAGAGGAAATCAATCGACGAGGTTGTGAAGTTACATAGACTGATATGGTTAGGACATGTGTTACGTATGCCTAGTGATCTCCTTCCTCGACGGGCAATGTTAGCTGACGTAGGGTCAGAGTGGAAAAGAGCTAGTGGCTGTCAAACCAAAACATGGCTTCATCAGTCAATGAAATCCACAACAGTTAGTTTAAGCGACGTAGGAAGGTGTAGACCTCTAGGCTGGTTGGGGTCCTCAGGACGGTAAAAGCCAATGTCTGGAAACAATTGGTGACATGGCTCAAAATCGTTCTCAGTGGCTAGCGCAGATGCATCCACTCCTTTTGACTTATGATTTCCAATGAAACTGTTTTGTTCTTCGTTACTACTCTTCCTTTGTCTCACACCTCCGTTTATTGCATTTCTTCTCTTGCTTTGTGTGCTACATGGAGTGTTGCGACTTGAACTGGTGCACATATGTGCAAAGTTCTATGTCGAAAACAGACATACAGACAGTGATATGAAACAACTTAATGATTTGCATGGTTCAAACAGCTTCGTGACTTATAGCATATCACTGCCTAGACACGGATCTATTTTAATCAGATTATACTTCAGCTATTTTAGTAGTCTAAGTAGCCAAATTCAGATGTACCTACTCAACCTGTAACATAATCAATTTAGTGTGCTATTGTGCGGAGTAAGTTGTCCTCATTACTTGATTTTGCTGAAGCTACTTCACTAGATGAACATTTGTAAGCGCATCAACAAATCTAACTTACCTAACTAGTGCTGTTTGCTCGTTTTAACGTTCGTCACAGTAGTTCCTATGTATGTAGGCTATAGTACATGAACAAGGGTAATAAGCCAATTGACAGTTCCTTCCGTCTTCTATTTTTAGTGTAGTGCATTCGCGTACTAGGCACTCATGTCACTTGATTGCTACGTTTACCATAAACAGGGATTTTAAAATGCTTTTGGTACCCTTTGGAGGATCTCGTAGGCCACCCAGACTGACGCTTTAAGTAAACCATTTAGCGCACCGATTCTCTTTTAAGTACAATTTTCACCTACCCACATATTAGCCGCCGAGGTGTCCAGGCTGAATCAGGTGAGCGAAACTTGGACACATTATTTGGAATTTGAGTACTTAAACCAATCAGCCACATTTATGTAGATGGGTCGGAAGTGTATATTCATGCCCCACGCTTATGTATTCCCTTTTTCTTTGACTTTTTCTCCGCTGAGCTATATTTTCACTCCTGTTTTTCTTGTTATTGAGTTCTCAGTGTCATAGGCCCTACATCCATTAGTAGTGCTTAGTACACCTCCTGATTGCCATGCATAGTACTTCGTAACATTTACACCAATTCCGTAACATTTCTGAAATATTTAATATTAGATAAATTCAATAAATAATAAATTAGTAAGACTATTCTTAATTATTTTAGTTTTCAATTGTTCATCTGGCTCATTCTCGGAACTTGTATCTCTTTGCCTAAGAAATGGAAACATTATGTCAACTGTTGAACTTAGCCGTTGGATATCCAAAGGCATATATGGTGCACTCATTGTCGTTAATAAACTTGTACATCGTCGAAATCATCCTCTTTCGGTAAGTGTGTAATGCAATTTCTTGGACCGTTTTTACTTTATCGGTAGTTTTTATGTTATAACTTTCAGTTGTGTACTAACTATATATATATATATATATATATATATATATATATATATAATCAGAATGTTCATAGTTTTTTGTACTGAAGCATATGTTTCAAACCCAGGGATCCTAGTAAGTATTATTCTAAACGTCTTATTTCATATTTTAGATGCATAAACGGTTAGAATATGTTCAAACAGAAAGGTATTAGGTTATACGCGTTTTTATGAGCAGTATTACACCTAAATATATTGTAAAAAGTCAGTAGCTGAGATCCGTAAATCACTACTGTACATCTATTTTGTATTTGCACTGTACTGTTAGTTTCCTAACCGAACGAACTTTTCTAAGCTGTTCATAAGTCACTCTTCATCTTGTGGAAAGAACAGAAACATGTTGAAGAATTGTAATAACAGTGATTATAAAAACACATTTCGTGAAGGCTTTAAATAAGCGTTAATTGACTGGCTGAAACTCATTACTGGACCTTGCACAGAAGTGCAGCAGTTCAACTTTTTACACGCCATGTAGCACATTAAAATGGTAAAAAAAAATTCAAAAGAACTACAATGAGCAAAAATGTGAAGGAGAATGAATAGTATCATGAGAAAGCACTACGGTTTAGTCGATATAGGGCATTAAAAAGAGCGAATCCATCTGTGCCATTAAGAATGCCTTTTAGCCATATCCTCAACAATCTTCAGCCATTGGTTCTTAGCATCTCGAAGACCCCGGCCAAACAGTTCACACCTCCCTACGTGACCTACTCAAAGCAGCTGTTAAATACTTCGTGGGCTGGTGGCAGATTTTGGTTTGACCACCCCTAACTGTTCTCCAATTCAATCCTATATCGGCTAACATTGTTTGTCTAGGAAGTCACTATCTCGGTATTCTAGCCATCTCAATCTATATAGCTTCAGAACCGCATCAATTAACTTGCCCGCGTTACCTAACACTACGCTAACCTTAATATTTCTCCCCATATTATACCATTTCACACGACGAACGTGTTTGGTCAAAGATAGCTAGCCTTTTCATGTCTTCCGCTTTTAATGGTTATTTCTCACGGCCATAAAAGAGGACAGAGTGAACTACTGTGTGGTACACACGTCCTTCGATCAATAGCTGGATAGGATGTCGTCTCCAGAGATGACGGAAGTTAGTATATGCTACAGCAGGCTTTCGCATCCATGCTTAGGTTTTGTCAGTGATCAATCCGTTAAGGCTGATATGACTTCCAATATAATGCGCTCTACCACTTCCCTCCCTATCTTTAAGCTAGGAGTCGGCGTAGTCCAGTCCTTCAGCGTCATCTTACACTTGACAGGGGCAAAATGCATGCGAAACATTGCAAAATTTCTACTTAAGATATTCAAAAGATTCTACATTTTTTCAGCGTCTTCACCTAAGACTACAATTAAATAATTGTAGCAAAATGATAAATATAAATTATGTCTATAATGAAATTGCTACAAATGGCATAGTTTATCTTTCCCTCAGTGCCATTAATAGATATATATTTTCTAATATTTCGTAATAATCAAATACCTCCACTTTATTTTTTACTGGAATTTCAGTTTTTCATTATCTCAAGTACAATCAGTATTGGATGCATTGTACTCAGTATGTATATATCTGGTGTAACTTTAGCCTATATGGTTCTCAATATTTGCTTAACTCTACCAGCACTAATACATCATAATGTTATATCACGAATATGGAATTTAATAAAACCTATTTTAATTCGTATTGAAGCTGAATTCGATAAAAATGCTTTAGAATCTCCTGAAGAACGTGAAGCCGGTGAACGTGAACTTTATGAACCGATTGTTGCAGCTGCAAATGCAGCCAATGCTGCTGATATACACCATAATGAATTAGACATAAATGAGTTCGTTAAACCAGAGGCTGGTCAGATAGATACAGACGAATTAGACACATCTGAGGCGGTATTTATCAAACAATTTGGTATGTTGGTTTCCATTAAACTATTAAAGTTCAGCTTTTTGCTGTACCAAGCTTAATTTTCAAATATTTTCGTGTAAACATATTTTATTTTATTATGATACCTACTTTATGTGTATTTTTCTTATCATGGGTCGTATGTTACATCTGCATTTTATCCCGTTTTCTGCAGCCCTCTTCAGATGACTCCATGATTATCTATACTCTTTTAATTCCTCCTCAAATGGTCTCTTGCATGTCACCCTCAGACACTTCCATTTTGTCGTTCCCCATTAGGGTACCACTTGAGGGCATGCACAGTGCGTGATGTCACCCAACAGTCTCCCTAGCGTCTGTTCATTCCATCTCCATTTCCTTCGGTATGTTTGTTGGACGATAGGTCCCTGGTTGGTCGGTTGGTTGATTACCAGAGTTCCTTGTTGTCTATCGTTTCTCGCCATTTGCTCTGAAGTAACGAGTCAGTAAAAATGTTGAAAATGCTTTTGGTGACGCTCTAAGTCCCTAAACCATGTAGGGAATAACTGACTTAACACTAGTGTTAAGGAATCTGGATCTTGTTCCTCGTACTGGGTGCAGCAGATTTCCACAATGATTTCGGAGTCATGAGGATCTGTCTTGCTTTTCCGACCCTTGTTAAACATCCTCATCTATGCTGTCCCTAACTGGAACAAGATGGCTTCTTTCAAATTTCTGCCGTTGATATGGACTGTTGCTTATTGTTGATTAGGTGTCTTCATTAGCCAATCTCTACAGAAAATTCAAGTCACGAAAAAATCAAACTGATTACCGATAACTGACTGACTGGTTTCAATGTAGAACTTTACACATGTGCAGCAGTTCACTTCACTTAGCACACAAAGCAAAAGAAGAAAGTAAAAAGAGAGATATGAGGCAAAGAGAATAGTAATATGTAAAAATCATATAGATTGACTAAACCTTCAAGTTGTCAACACATACAACTATAAGGCCTCCACAATACGGTATGCCATGTCCATTCAGATGTAGTAAGTAATTGAGGAGTTCAGAGAGATAGAACCAGTAACCAAGTAGGAATAATATCTTCTTTATGATTTGTAATGCTTTCTTTAACTATTGAGAATGATGAGTGCTATTTCGTTTGTTTTACTGGGTTTTCCCCGCTTCACTTGCCCTCTGCTGCTGTGCTTGCTAAAATAAAAGTTCATGAACACCATTCGTCTTCTACAATATTACATGTTTTCGGTTGGTAATTTGATTAAATATTCTGATACAAAAATTCGGTTTCTAAACAAACACTCACTGTTTTTCAGTTAAGAGTTTGCATTGATAAGCCCTCTGGAATTGTTTTCCATTTATTTCGGGTAAACTACATTCTGGGCATATTCCGATTTTTACGTAGGAAGTTCAAACATTTCGTCAGCCTCCTTTCACAACAGTCATTTCCCTTTTTCATAATAATAGGTCAATCTCCGAAATGTACAAGTCAAACGAAGTTATCTTGTGTGTATAACTGAAGCTGAGAATTTCTTTCCAAACAAATTCGGGACGATAATCCATAGGATTATTCGAACCATACTCAGAATGACGCGTAAAATCCAAAAACAGAGGATTTGTCTAAAATTCGGTACTATATTTAGCCTAAAATATGAAATATAATATACAAACCTCAGTTGTGAGGTGTCTGTGGTTGATTGTCGTCAAAAGCACAATTAATGAGCGTCACTGTAATAAAAAACAGGAAAGGCTGTGTCAAAGGCGATCCACGTGTAGATTTAAGCACAACTCGACACTGCTGATACGAATAAACAATGTTCAACTATAAGAAAATAAATACTATGCATCAAATAGATTAGTAGTACATTGAGTGAGTTATCAAACAAATAGCAAAACCGTAGTCAAGAATTAAGAAATACAATTCATACTACTTACTAGTGGTAAGGAAAGGAATTAACAGAAGTACATCATTATTTTTTATTTCCCTTTAACTTTGATTTATATTTTTTTTCAGTGTCAGATATCAGTTCAGAAGAATTAGATCGGTTGTTTTCTGAAGCACTTGGTGAACATGAAAATATATCACAGAATAAGCGACGCATGAGACCAGATTTCATTGATTCTCGAAGATTTAATGACATAATTGATGATGCTGCATGTATTAAACAAGAACCATATTCTCCAAGTTCATGGGCAATGGGAAGTGAGTACGCGACGGATGATGATGAAAGTAGTGATATCATGAATGAGGTAATTTCACCTGACAAACTAAAAGTAACTTATGAATCATATATATATATACTTCCATTATGGATAAGATTTTATTTTGGTAAAATCACACAGTGTTGTTATACAGTAATATTTACTAATGACCACGCTCCGAGCACAGTTTATTGCCACTCATAATCATATCAAGTCACTACTCACACAACTTTCTTGCTTCTTTTATATACATGAGTAAAAATTGATGATGATTAGACGATATATAGAAGACTTGTGTGAAACAGAAAGGAAGATGAAGTACATTCGGAACGAGTGTTAGTGTCATATGTTGAGAATTAGCTCTAATACTGTGTCCCATTAGGAATCATTCAAACTCTAGGCTAAATAGTTCATGTGAAATAAAAAGGAAACTAAATGACATTCATTCAAAGAATAATGAAACAATGGTTAGTTTTGATGTAACCAGTCTTGAATATTAATATTCTAATCAATATGGCCTTAGAAACAATTAAAAGACAACTAACTGCAGACTCTGAACTAACTCATAGGACGAAGCTACCGATTGAAGAAATTATTTTAGGAATTCAGTTATGCCTCACATCTACTATCTTTAAATTCCAGGACAAAATATATAGACAAACAGAAGGTGTAGCAATAGGGATGGATCACCAGTATCCCCTATTGTAGCGGATATCTTTACGGACAGCTGAGAAAATACTGCTCTAAATACATTTAATCCTACTCCAAAGATATGGTGGAGATATGTGTGGATGACACTTTCACTCACAGTGTTAAAAACAGAACTTATCTCTAGCTTCTTGAAGTATATAAACTCATTAGTGAAGGGGATACAATTCACATTTGAATTGGCTTCGGGTGGTTTTGAAAGTGATTAAAGTGACTAGCTGTCTTCGATCATAGGTGCCTGCGTTCTATCTCCCGTGTGAACTGGTATAATATGGTGAGCAATATTGAGGTTGGGCGTCGAGTTCTAGGTAAACAGAGGAAATCAATCGACGAGGTTGTGAAGTTACATAGACTGAGATGGTTAAGACATGTGTTACGTATGCCTAGTGATCGCCTTCCTCGACGGGCAATGTTAGCTGACGTAGGGTCAGAGTGGAAAAGAGCTACTGGCTGTCAAACCAGAACATGGCTTTATCAGTCAATGAAATCCACAACAGTTAGTTTAAGCCAGCCACGTAGGAAGGTGTAGACCTCTAGGCTGGTTGGGGTCCTCAGGACGGTAAAAGCCAATGTCTGGAAACAATTGATGACATGGCTCAAAATCGTTCTCAGTGGCTAGCGCAGATGCATCCACTCCTTTTAACTTATGATATCCAATGAAACTGTATTGTTCTTCGATATTACTATTCTTTTTGCTTTCTATCTCTGTTTACTGTCTCTATTTTGCGTTTCTTTTTACTTTCTTCTTCTCTTGCTTTATGTGCAACATGGAGTATGGCGATTTGCATAGTTCTATGCTGAAAGCAGAGAGACAAACATTTGAATCGGAAAATGAACAAGGTGAATTAGCCACAGTGTTAGATTGTAAAATAGAACGAATAGAAGAAGGTAAACTGCACTGACTGCACTGCACACTGGCGTTTATAAAAAGCCAACTCATCCTAATAGATATTTAAACTTTAATTCACCTGATCCGTTTTCTGTCTATGAAGGCAGGCTTAGTTAAGTACTGTCGAACAAACTGAGCAATAGCACTAATAGTGGTTCTAAATGTACTTCGTCTTCCTTTCTGTTTCACGCAAGTCTTCTATATATCGACTTTATTCCAATGTCTAATCATCATCAATTTTTACTCATGTGTATATAAAAGAAGCAAGAAAGTTGTGTGAGTAGTGACTTGATATGATTATGAGTGGCAATAAACTGTGCTCGAAGTGTGGTCATTAGTAAATATTACTGTACAAACAACACTGTGAGGCTCTCATCAAAATAAAAATTTTATGCATAATGGAATTGTACTCTATCACAGTGCCCAAGTTTTATAGTTATATCAATAATATATATATATATATATATATATATATATATATATATATATATATATATATATATATATATATATATATTGCTGTAGAGTGAAGTAATATGATTATGTTGTCCAGTATGATGCACGAACAACAACACTACAGTATATATCGAATGCAGTTTTTGTTCTCCAAAATGTCATATTTGTTATGTACTCGTCGAGTAGCTAATAGTCCTGACGCGGAAAGAGGGAAATCAGAAGACCACCAGGTTTATTATGATACTTGTATTTTCCAGACAAGGAAAATAAGTGTTACACAAGAGTGTGAGTGAATTGATACAAGTGTCTGAAATGTGTGTGAACCAGACATAATACAAAAGTATATATGAAAATGGCTAATACACATGAACCAATAAATAGACAGTCTTAACATGATTGGTTGTAATGTCATGTGATAACAAGATCATACATGTTTATTCAGCTAGTGGACAGACAAAAGCATATTGTCAGTTATAATGAAATATCGATCCATATACACATAGCAAAATATAATAGCTGTCAACAACAAAACACACACATCATGTGGATAAATATCAATATTTCAGCTAACTTTATTGCATAGTTTCATTTATTCCTGACTATGGGTAACATTATTAGCTGATTTAACCAATTTTAATTCAACTTGTGTAATTCAAATCCTTTCGATATACTTTAAATCTAGAAATAAAAAATATTCTAGTACTGGTTTGTAGGGATTTGGTTGATTGGTTACAGGATTTCATCGTGAGCTGACATTGGATAGAGAACAATTGGAAAAGCTACAAGGAGTACTTATTCTTATATTTTCTGCGAAATATCATTCATTTGTCTAAAATTACTTTTTCATTTTGGTGATCTATGAAAAGATGGTGGTTTATAAAGAGGAAATCTGTTTGTTTCAAGATTGATCACAAACTGACTTAAGTTAGAGAGAACCATTGAACACCCACAGAAAGTACTGTCCAAGCTGTTTTTTATTCCCGTTTGGGATACATATTACTCACCGGTTGTGTGCACTATATGTATCAAGAATAGACAGAAGTTAGATTTGTGTGGGTCGCTGGATACCATCCCAAGTGGCTGGAATTGTCAGCAATTTCATCTTGTATGTATATATATCCAAACCAAGTTTGAAAAAAATTTGGGCATTGGGTATATGATATTCATTATAATAAAGGTTTCTGTATTTCCCAATAAATGAAAAACAAAACGATATTGTTGTTTTTACTGACGTTTCTCTAATTAATGCTATTAGCTTTATCGAAGTATTATTAAACCGGAATTTACAAAATCTCAGTATATATATATATATATATATATTATATATATAATAATAAAGAATTAAGGGGTGAGATTCTGGGTTTGATTCCTGACGGTGGGGGGGTGGGGTGATAGGTGCACACTGATGAATAATCCCATACTCAGCTGAACTATTCTCCACATTTCTTATCTTATTATGGTCAAGTAATCTAGATTTTGCTAGGTTTCTGTGCTGCGCTATCCCAAATCGCTTATGTATTTGTCCTGACAATCATTCGAGCAGGGTAATAAATAAACTAAATTGTCTTAAAAGCTCCACAGGATTGATTCTTTAACCGACTAAGCTTGTTTCTAATTGTGAATTTGTGGTTGAATTGAATCCCAGCCACTTTTATTCCTGCCTTGTTAAGAATTCTGAGTAAGGTTTCCGAGGTTCCTTCTTTATATGGAAGTATTATTAATGGTGTTTAAATTCCTTATTGTTGGTGTTGTCATCAATCTGTGTATTTTTGTCATGTATGTCATTATTACTACTATGATTACTAATAATTTTATTTTAACATTTTTCTTACATACTTCCTGATTAATTTATTAGAGTAATTATTAACTTTTAAAGCTTTTCTTATATGCCTCACATCCTGTCTTAGATTTTCCTTGGTACTACTTAGTTTTCTTGCTTTATTACTCAGACATTTCACTAATCCTATTTTTTACTGACATACGGTAGAATGATCCAAAATCCAAATATCAGTTTGAATGTGTGGGTTCTCTGTAAACGCTATAGTTTAACTGCCCATCTTCTTTCCTTTTTACGCTACAATCTTACATTGGGAGCTCTTCTTCCTGAGTTGAATTAAATTTCGGAACACACAGAAACCTAGCAAAATCTAGATTACTTGACCCGAATAAGATAAGAAATGTGGAGAATAGTTCAGCTATATTACTACTCATTGCACGCAATTACACACAACCATACACACAATACAATGGGATAAATGTGACAGTTCTAAAATGTAACATAACAAGTTGGAGAGAGAGGTTGATAACAGAAGCTTTTTATTTATCGAATCAATCGGCTGAAAATACGTCTAATAGAAGTGATTAACCACCTGTCCACCCGAACATTTGGAGAATTCTTCTACCTACCCGTACGACGAATAAGAGAAATAAAGAAATCTATAAAATGGAAGTTTCGAAGTTGTACATTTACAATGGATGATACGATTATGAACAATAAATTGTATTCGAAATATCGTCATCCAGTGAATAATAGTGTTTCACTGTGTGATATATGTAGTAAGCAAATTAATATGGAATTACAAACTACCACAGTGGAGCTATCATCTGAGCAAAACTGATTTCTTAACGTAGAACTTTTCATAAAAGTTTTTATTCGTGTGTGGCACACAAAGGTCGAGAAAAGAAGCTATGAAATCCTTAGATGTACGGGTGATTAATGACGGTGTAATAAACCTGTACAGCCAAAAAGTATCAATTGGAATCTGTACTATTAGTTCTTAGTGTTTTAAGGAATGTAGCTAGAGATGGCGTACATTTTTATTCATTTGACTCAAACTAACAGTCGAATACTTACTTCATGGATTAAAGCTAATATATATATATATATATATATATGTGTGTGTATATGGTGATCTCTCTTTCTGTTTGCTCGCTTAGTCTGTGACCATTTCACTTTCATGAACCTGTCTCCTTTAACAATGTATATTCCCCTTATATTATATATAATATAATATGAGTGTTTGTTGACAGTCCGTTGCTTGGTGACATATATCCATATATGTGTGGTTGTTGACATGTGTGCTATATTTTGCTATGTATATGTGGATCGACACTCCATTATAATTAGCCATTCATGTTAAGACTGTCTATTGATTTGTTCACACTTGTCTGGACGGTCATATATATATTTCGTTCTCACAATCTTGTGACTTACTTTGGTGTGATACCACTTATTGCTTCTCCTTGTGTTTAGAAAATAGAAGTATCATCGCAAACCTAGTGGTCTTCTGATTTCCGTCTTCTTGCGTCAGGACTATTAAATTCTCGACCAGTACATAACAATAATTTAGCGACGGGGGAAACTACTATTAACCACTCAGCACAACATAACAGGAATGTAGCTAGAGATGGCGTACATTTTTATTCATTTGACTCAAACTAACAGTCAAATACTTACTTCATGGATTAAGGCTAATATGTTTTGACCTGACCACTCCTAGCTATCATCTCAGTCGATTTAACATGTTGTCGTGTACTGGAGAGATGTACCTTCTTCGATTGAAGACACTGACAAAATACTGTGAGTCTTTTGAACACCCACCCTAAGCGAAAATTCATATTATGTTCAAGATACATTTCTTCCATAATACTTACGCCTACTAATCTCCCTATTATAAGAAGACAATTGCAGCGAAGAAAATTTTCTTTTCGACGAAGTCATCATCTAGGCTGTACATTCGTGTATTTATAATAAATGGATTGTGGAAACTTCCAGAATCATATCCGGTTAAGGGTCAAATTAATTAAAATTGGGAATTAGAATGCCATAATAAACAGGGGGATGGATAAAACAAACAAAGCAGCATCATAATAACTAAGAAGATTGACATTGTGCAATTGAGGGTTAGAAATGTAGAAATAACAAAATAGACAGGATTTTTGAATAAAAAACTAATGTGATGGATAATTGTTTATGCAATCAGGGATTAAATATGTAGAAATAGTAAAATGACAAAATAAACACGAAGGTCAAGTATGAAAATATGGTAGTGTAAACAGGGATTGAGAAAAACTTAAAATAACATGAATAAACAGGAAGTTTAGATAAGAAAGGCGATGGGATGGCCACTACTAAAAAATTACCTGTATATGATAGCCAGGCAGGGACAGGGGTTGGACGTATTTCTTTTGTATACAAAGCGTGGGTTTGAGCTTTTGGATAGCTAGCGCCTCGGCTATGCCCAGACATCTTGATTTCACTCCTTTTGATGAGTTTGATTGGATCTTGTATATTACTTTAAAGGATTTTTCTAAAGGCTCTGAATGTCCTGAATTAACCAATGTTCTGTCACTGAACTGTATACACGCTTTTGATCTCCTTTTACCAGCCAGGCTGGGTAGTGTTCACGAGCGCGTTTTTCAAGTCGGCGCATGGTACGGCCAACGTACTCAGCTCCACAAGAGCAAGTAAACTGGTATATGCACGTTGAGGTGGCCCAATGCGACAGCTTGTCTTTCGCGTTCTGGCTGAACAGTTTCTTGCAGGAAAACGTCAGTCGTAGGCTAGCGGTGAGGTATGTTTTCCTCAGCGATTTGGAGAGGCGTTTGCGAAGGATTTCTGCTTCGATGTCACCTTTGAATTCTAGATTAAGCAGAAGTATTTTCTTTGGAACAGATTGAACTTGTTCGGAAATCGTCTTAGATTTGAGATTCCTGTCTATTGAACCTGGACGGAAAACCGTTTTCCATCAGGGTTTTATTATAATCGATCATATGGTGGTAGTACTTAATACTAGAGATAGAGTCTGTACAGCTGGCGGTCACTCTGTGTATCTCCCACTCCCAACGGCCATGACTCCCAGTTATATAAAGAGAAAGACAAAGTAGGGGGAACTGTCATATCATGTCGAATGTTATAACACTGAAGATATTTGTGTCTACAGGGAAAATCAAAGCTTGTGCAGTTCAACCATCCATGCCCTCATTTTTTGTATAATAATATTAATTATTATTATTATTATCACTAATTTTCTATAACTGATGGAATTATTTTCAACGCTTTATTTTCATTCAGGTTGGTACAACTTCATATTTGCCAAATAAAGAAATAGAACATGATGATTTTGTGTTTATCAGAAAAAAAGAGGGATGAAGAAGCCGATTACTGTTGTCTTCATTTCACTTTCATATATTTCACCGACATATATATATATACATACATTGCGCGCATATATTACACATTGTCTATATCAAACACATTTTTTCTCATTCTGCATTACCATTCATTCAATCAACGAATCTATCAGTCGAATCCAATCACTTTAAAACACGGACACATTTATCTTTACTTTCAGTTTTAATGATAAATGCAAGAAGTAGCTAAGCGAAGGGAAAATATCACCACTACAAGCTGAAATAACAATTGAACAATTATTCATTTATGTGAATCTATCTGTGTGTGTGGAGCTATGGGTGTCAGCGTGTGTGTGTGTGTGTGTCTTTTTTTCTTTCCCTATTCCTTTGTATATATGCATTTAGATTACCTCTTATGGCTTTTCTTTTAAGAAGGAAATATTTCGGAAGACTGAAATGAGTGAACAAAAGAATATTCTCCTCTTCTTCTTCTTCGTCATTAGGTTTTACAGTTATAATAAATGAAGAATTATTAACAATACTAAGGTTTTATTCCAATTTTGATCATGGACTACTACTCATCATTTAGACAACTATTGAAGACTGGAGAGTACTCGATGGCTATTTACTCCTAGTTTTGGGACGCTTCGACAATACGTAATCCCAGGACTCGAACCTATGACCCCCAGGTTCCAAGACATGCTCTCATAGACCATTCAGCTACTTAGTTGGCGCATGAATTCCAACTTATACTAATTCGTGATTTTAGTGTGACCACTAGCGTAATGTCATTCCCCACCGGATGGACCCTACTGGTCACGGCTTCTCACTAGTAGCAGGTAGCACTTGAGGCAAATGCGTCCTGTAGCCAGCCACTGTTAGGCGTCAGATCAGTGATTGAATCAATAAATAGTCTATGAGCTTGTCTTGTAACTGGAAAGTCTTAGATTCTAGCGCCACTGGGGATGCATACTGATGGTGAGTGTCAAAGTGGGACGAAACAACTGGTAGTTTTCAATGGTTCTTTAACTGATCAAAATCCCTACAAGCTAACTCTTGAAAATGAATGTTGTAAATAACATTGAATCAATAAGACTAACAGATTATCCTTCAAAGGCATTCGCAAGTGATAATATACATTAATATAGCACTCACTAAATTGAATATGAAAAATGCATTAAAAGAAATAATGCGGAATTTACGGGTTCCACAGAAAAGGTTAGGTTAGCAACACTGATTGGATCTATTTTGTTTTGCACACACAGAGCACTGATTGTTTTAAGTGCATCACAATAGCCTCTTTCTTATGTTTGGAGTATTCGGTATCTAAAGGTTTTTGGCAGTTTATTTGGTATCCAATAGACGATAGGTGAAGACTCTTCAATACTAACTGGCTTTATGACCTGTTTGGACCAGGTTGTCTAATACCGGACTGTTGATGGTTCCTACTAGACCATTATTCGCCTACACTGGTAATGATAGGTGTTGCCAAGCACGATAAATTAAGTTCCTGAAGAGACGGTGAAGAATCCTTATGTGTTTAGCTTTGAATAGCTTTCATTTGTATCCAGTTTGTTTGGTTGTCTTCCTCAGTTTTGTGATAGAACTAATCGTATATATGTGTGTAAGAGACGATCTTCACCCAATTCAGTCCAGTCTAAGCACCTGGTCATTATCCTTTGCATTCATACAATACAAATAAATCTTACGGTCAGGCGCATAAGCAATCTATGCATGTCGTTGTGTACTACTGATTGATTATTATAAGTAGTTCGGTACTATTCATAGTATATACCTTGGTGTGTTACTAATATAGAATAACCGAGTCTCATTCTTATCAATAAGAACCGACGACTTCACGAAGCATCGAACCCCGAACTCTCAAATTACAAAGTGAAGGTGTTCACCACTGGATCAATGAAGGCAGTGTGTCGTTTTTGAATCTTTCTAGTGCTTAATATGTCGACACTACTGTCTAAATTCACTGATGAGTCGGGATTTTCGCAACTAACCTGCTAGACGCCACTGATCGCAAGTTTCGTCTACCGCTTTGACATATTTGTCTTGAAGCTAGTTGCACTAATTACTACACAGCAGATCTTTGGGTTTTGAGATGACTGGTGTCTGACAGTCAAATTGAAGTGATAGAAAACACTAGGTGATCGCCTCGCTCTTTCGAGGGCTGAATTTATTACGTAGAACTATGTACTTTTCCGATGTGGAGCTTGATTGCATAGGAAACTTGTCCTGAGTAATCGAATATTAAGTAACATTTTGAGAAATTGATTTCACTCTCAATTAATATACATATCTCATCATGGGATCCTTTAGTAATAGACTTAACACTTCAGGTAGGAGTCAACATACGGATTTTCCTTGCAAAAATGCATAAATTTTTCCAGTTATTGGATGAAACTATAGAAAAGCATCTATTTCTCCATTGTAGTTTAAGTATGGGATAAGAAGGATTGTGAAGTACTGCACTTCATAATACACTTCGCAACATGTCCAATTGGAGTTAATTAGTGTTTCGAAAGGTTAATTGACTGCGTTAACTATTGATATCGTGTGTCTATGGTCCAATGGTAGGATGACTGCCAGTCACGTGGGAGGTACGAGTTCAGTCCCCAGCCAATGCATGCCTAATCTCTATTATTATTATTATGGTTTCCTTTAGTTCCTAGACAAACATAGGGCTTCAGCCTCACGTCTCCATTGTGTTCGGTTCTCCACCAACGTTTCAACCTGGCTCCATGTCTGTCCACATCCTTTCATCTCCTCTTCACATGACTTCCTCCATGTCGCTCTCGCACTGACGACCAACTCGCCGCTTCCCATTCGGTCGGGTTCTACTTGAGCGTTGGCCTGGCGTGTAATGCTAACGAATTAGACAAAACTCACAACTTAATAAACAACGTCTTCAACGACATCAAATTCACAAGAGAAGAGGAATCCGAGAACAAAATACCATTTTTGGACGTCTTAGTCAGGCGAACAACTACAGGAGAATTAGAAACTCAAGTTTATAGGAAATCAACTCACACAGACCAAATACTGAATTACAACAGCAACAACCCAATAGCACACAAAAGGAACTGCATACAAACACTATTCAAGAGAGCAAGGACTCACTGCAGCACTCCCACCTTAAGGAAAATTGAAGAAAAGTATCTCATGGACGTCTTCCAAAAGAATGGATATCCACGGAATTTCATCAAGAGACATATACCCCCAAGCCAACCTACCAAAACAAAAGCCACCAAGGAAAACACAAAGAAAATCGCCTTACCATATATAAAGGATATCTCAGAAATCACTAAAAGACTCTTCAAACCTTTAGGAATTGACGTCGTACACAAACCAACAAAGTCCCTGCACTCAATTCTATGTCAACCAAAAGACTCAACAGCGAAAGAAGACAAAACCAACATCATCTACAAAATAAACTGTAACAACTGCGAAAAACACTACATCGGCCAAAGTGGACGTCCCCTTCGTCTTCGTATCCACGAACATAAGCTAGCCGTCAAAAGACATGATATCCACTCCCTCATTTCACTACACACAGACAACTACGGACATCAATTCGACTGGGACAACGTTCAAATATTAGACAAAGGAAATAACAAGAATGCTAGAGAATTTTTAGAAGCTTGGCATTCCAGTGAATCATCAATCAATAGACACATCGAGATAGACAAAATTTATCAACCAATAAGAAAGAAACTTCACACACGATTGGCCAAAGTTCAAGTCACAGAAACAATCAGTTCCAACACAAGTAACCTAGAAGGTGTGAAAACATACATAAACAACCAATCACGTCCAAGGTCACCAGGAGGAATGATTAATAAACTCGTGGAGAAACCTAAAAGCTCACTTCAATTTGAAGTATGCGCTGAAGATGTCACCCAGTAAGGTGATGAAAGCTTCGCAAACTAACTATCCAGCTCAGAGAACAAAACCACATCAAAATTATCCACCTGAGCTACAAATCTTCTCTATCATATCTAGATTTCTACTTTGTTCCATTTCACTTAATAGTAAAAATAATAATGACTAATCAGTTAACTTCCTCTTCGACAGACAGATGTAGGTGATATGGTTTTCTGAACTTCATTCATTCGATTTAAAATTGAGGTGGCAGAACAAGACTTATCACTGATGATTACAATAAGATAGAAGTCAACTCAAGAATAATGATAATTTTGGTAATAAGTTTCTGTTTTTATTTACAGGCTAAGACGTAGGTTCCTAAGTTCTTCTGGGATATTTATCTACTCATATAAAACCAGTGCTAAATATGGTTTCGTCGAATTTTGATATTTTGAAGCACGAGGATAAAAATTCTTATAAAAATCACTTCTGGTTTTAACTAAATCAATAAAAGGTGGAAAGTTATAAATAAAGAGGATGTTCAGTACTTTGATTGGACACTAGCCAGTAACTAGTGTGATATGTCTAGTTCTTTCATTGGCGAAGACTGAATTCTGTCAGTCAGGTTTGCAGTATGGCCACTGTTATGTTGCTGCTGCTGAGTGGTTAATAGTAGTTTTCCCCGTCGCCAAATTGTTATGTACTCGTCGCAAAATTATTGCTATGTACTGGTCGAGAATTTAATAGTCCTGACGCAAGAAAGCGGAAATCAGAAGACCACTAGGTTTGCGATGATACTTCTATTTTCCAAACACAAGGAGAAGCAATAAGTGGTATCACACCAAAGTAAGTCACAAGATTGTGAGAACGAAATATATATATGACCGTCCAGACAAGTGTGTGAACAAATCAATAGACAGTCTTAACATGAATGGCTAATTATAATGGAGTGTCGATCCACATATACATAGCAAAATATAGCACACATGTCAACAACCACACATATAATATGGATATATGTCACCAAGCAACGGACTGTCAACAAACACTCATATTATATAATATAAGGGGAATATACATTGTTAAAGGAGACAGGTTCATCAAAGTGAAATGGTCACAGACTAAGAGAGCCACAGAACGAGAAACCACCATACACATATATATATATATATATGTATATATGGATATATATCAGCCACCATTCTAGGTAGCTCCCTTCTGAGGTTCGAATCCGCGTCACCCACTGCTGCAGTCACAGATGTGCCAACTTGCATGAAACGTAGGTCCAAGGCTTCCTGTCGATTACCTCCAACCATCTAATACCAACAATTTACAGTGTACCATGATGTCGAGCCACCTCGTGGCAAGCTGGCCACATTGTGAAATTGACTGATAAAATTCAGTCTGCACCAAAGGTAGGACTAGACACATTAAACTACTTACTGACTAGTGTCGAATCAAAAGTGTTAGGCGTCTGTGAGAGCATATCGAATGTAAACGGAGTGTTTGAATTGTCAACTAAAACCAAAAGCACATTCTAGCAGTGACGACCACGATGTCATCAACAGCATCCAAAACTCCTATTCAGTGGAGACCAATCTCGCTTAGGATAATGAGAGCAAGATTCAGCTCGAAAGTTAAGAAACTTACAAGTGTAACTGATGCTA